AAACAATAATTTGCAATTCACAAAGTTACTAAATCACCTAGCACTCTTTAAAGGAAACTGTTTTTGGAAATACTGAATTGACAGCAAGGTGATCTGAGTGTCTCCCGCTATAACGCTTTCTATGTGCAAAACGTGCTTATGTTTGTATGTTTATTACAAAAAACAAATGGCGCAATAATCACTAATTGTCAATTTCGTCATTAAATACTACACCAAATACAAAACAAATAGGACCATTAAATTTCTTGCAAACTTCTTATGAAGTTATTTTAAAATTTGTAAGTTCAACCGTTTGGTTTCCTATAGCGAGCAAAATAAACAAATAAACAAACTTCCTCTTTTATATATATTGATAGATAGATTCTTCAAGATCTTGATTTTGTCATCTTACGCCTTTTAATGAAGATGGAAACACTGACAGGGAAATAATATAATAGCCAATGCTCAACGAGAGGTTTTCGTTTATAGAATTTTATTGTTGTTCTCGACTTGATTTTTATATTATTATCTCGTTTCCATAGTTACTATTTGCAAATAGTCAATAATATTGTAGGTCCATTTTATTGTTGTTTTTTCTACGCGCCGTTATAACGCATTATCATATCATCATTTAATTTCTGTTGTGCATATATTGTTCAATGTTTATTACAAAAAATTTATTAAAAATATGGCGCAATAATCATTAATCATCAATTTCGTCATTAAGTACTATACCAAATACAAAATAAATAGCACCATTAAATTTCTTGTAAAAAACTGGTTATTATAAAGTTATTTTAAAATTTGTAAGTTCAACTGTTTGGATTCTATAGCGAAAAAAATAAACAAACTTCCTCTTTTACATATATAGATTACTAGTTTGACGTGTTTGAAAACTTTTTGTTAAGAGCGGTTGTTATATTTTAATTAAAAGTGACCGATTATTTTCAGATTAGAATTTTTTAAGTTAATACAATAAAAACGAGGTGTTTGAAATCCCCCACGTTGTTAAAACATATGAATAAACATAATCCAAAATTAAGAACGACTCAGTGTGTTGCGTTGTTCTGTTTCCTTTGAAAAAGTAAGATACCAGGGTCACTACATTGAAATTCTTAGTTGAACCACCATTTATATTATTGCCTCCCAGTAGCACAGCGGTATGTCTGCGGATTTACAACGCTCGACTTCAGGTTTCAATACCCGTGGTGGGCAGAGCACAGATAGCCTATTGTGTAGCTTTGTGCTTAATTTCAAACAAACAAACAAAATTTATATTATTAAATTTCTAAATCTGGAATAACTGGAATTTTATAATTTGAATTCTTTTTTCTGTATTATTATATAATCCTCTTACGTTTAAAACCGTAATCAGTGTCTATTCCTTCACTGTGATTTAATTTCATTTTCTAATTCTACGTGATTTTCATACATTGGGAAGTCATCTCTAAAGATGTTTCGTCTTTGAAAATGTATTTGTATTTTACCAGTTGTGGAACATAGGGTTTGTTTGGTGAAACAAAATCGGTTTTTATACAGAATAATATTTCCCGTCAACTCCACAGTAATATTTAGTTTTACAGTTCAGTTTGGAATTATAGAAATATTAAACATCATAAACGAAGCTACTGTTTAAAATATTTTCTTAACTCCTTTAATGATTTTATCTCCCAAATTAAGACATTAAATATGACTGATTGATACAGGGTTTATATTGTAGTTATTGTCTGTTCTACAGTTTATCACACGTAAAGTTTTACAATTATTAAGGTTTTTAATAAAATATTAAATTTCCCCAAACAAAATTCCAGCCTGGCACTAGGTAATGATTAGGTTTAGGTTTCAATGACACGTGTTTTGTTGCTTTGTTGAACAATTATTAGTTCCGTGAAAGTTGTATGATGTATTGTTGTGTCGTGATGTGTATATATAAAAATATACAAATATGTCTCTCAATATATCTTTATGAATAAAGTAGATATAGCAACTGCAGTTAAACTAAAGTTTCTGTCTGCAAGTTTTTTTGCTTGGCAAGGAGAGATTACAGAAAGCAAGGTTTATATAAAACCAGCACGGTAATTATTTCTACAAATGTGTGTGCGATATTAGCAGTTTTTCAATAACCATAAAATTCTAGCGTTCGGCTCTACGAAGTTAACCACCCGTAACAATGCTTTACATTCAAGCAGACAAACATTAAAACATAGGCAAGATTTAGCATAACGTCTAACTCAGAGAAGCTTTCAGTTCGGACTTAAACCTTCATAGCTGACCTGATTAGTTGTATAGCAAGATGCTGATATCCTAGATTAAGTCTCGGGTTATTCTTAAAGATTACATATCTAACAAATCTAGACACAATACGAACAATATTAACATATTTTATATATACGACAGTTATCCAGCCAGAAATTCCGAACTAGAATGAGGCCAATTATCATGGATAAAATGTCATTTAGAATATATTTTAGTTATAGAAGTCACTCAGTAGTTTCTTTATAAACAGGTTCTTGGTGGGTTAACAGAAAGTAAGAAAATCTCTAACATTTAAAATAATATTTTCTTGTTTAACTAAGACTCAGAATTTCCTGACCGTTTTTAAAATGGAGGTCCGTTTTCGCGCCAGTCGAACAGAAATTAAAAGACAGGACCACATATGCATATTTTTGCTACTTTAAGAGCTTAGCGACCCCATACATTATCGCCTATCTTTGAAAGAGAAACAGGGGCGTATTTGGCTGCCTCAAAGATTTCTCTGGCTAAAATAGCCCCAGGTGCAAAACCACCCACAGGAACAGGAGCATCGGCAGGAACGGGGGCAGGAACAGTACCAGGGGCATGTAAAACAGCCTAGCCACCCACTAAAACAGAAGCATCGACAGGGATGGGGGCACCAACAGCACAAGGGGAATGTAAAACAGCATAGCCACCCACAGGACCTACTGGAGCGCCAACTGGTATCAGCAGGATTTTCGCCAGGACTAACCCCTTGTTCGTTAGATTGGATGTTGGTTCTGAAACCGGAAGGACCAGCTGAATAGTCTACTACCCTCTTTCGTCCATCTTCAATCTCTAAAGAGTAGCTACCAGTGATTTCACCACCCACGGTTCCACTTTCTGAGCGAGAGTTTGTGCTGTCGTCTCCTTCTGCTGTGTATATGAAAGAGAAGGGACTGGGCTGAAACAAGAAAGAAAAGAGAATTAGGTAAACGTTTTTCGATGGTTTAGACCAAACCTCATTAGATTTAATAGAATCCTTCTATTCTTGAAACATATGGCTGTGTATCAAACAAATGTTATAAGTCATAAGAAACTCAGTGCAAGAGTGTTCTCAAACATAACTAAATTAAAACGTAAAATAATACCAAGTGCTGACCAGAGTGACATATTTTATAATGAAAGAACGAAGACAAACTCAAGAATAAGGTTATATTAATTTCACTCAAAGTTTTGTTTGTACAACTTCTGCAGGAGCGACCCTTACTTATACCTCTAGGCTCACAATAAGTAACAGACTAAAGACATTCAAATTTGCTCCACTGACCAATAGAAAGTAAGGAACAAGTTAATGTGGATAACATTGTTTACATTGATATAAAGCTCAATTATAAAACAGCATCAATGTCTAACAACGCAAGTGTTGGTATGAAGCCAAAAGGTATAATGAAAATCATTTCAATATTTAACTAAAAACACATGTAAAAAGTATACTGTCTGATACTCATTCTGAGTGCCTGCAGTGTAAGTAAACAGTTGCTATTAAAGAAAATGTAGCAACGAAACGTTTAGTGAAGTAAGGGTAATCTTGTTCTGAAACAACTTTCGTTTATTACTTTAAATTAAAAGAAATAGGTTACACTAAATATTTTAAATGTAATAAGATAATTAATATTTAAATCCTGAATAGATGTAAATATAAAATGAAAAACTGAAGAATTCAGACTCACTCCTGCAGCGGGAGCAGAGGCTTTAACAGAATCACCAGCAGGAATCATGGGTAATCCTGCAGAGGCATTGATTTCTACATCAGCAGGGTTACTACCAGGTACCACACCAGGTTTGTTACTTTGCATATTTGCTTTGAATCCTCCAGATCCAACAGTGTAGTCTACTTTTCTGCGACGTCCATCAGGGTCCTCCACACTGTAAGTACCCGCCACGTTTCCGGCGATATCTCCACTTTCTGACTTGGAGCTGGCTCCTCCTCCTGCAGGAACACTGTACATGAAGTTGAATGGTAGAGCCTGTGTATAAAATATTAATAATATTTATCAAACTATGAACATAGTCTCCTTTGGATCTCCCAAAACGTATTCAGTTTATAACAGACTTTTATCCCAAACAGAGTAACCACCTAACTACAATGTAACAACCTTATTATTCAGAACATCTCCATTAAGTAAATTGTTTTTTATTATATCTAGAAAGGAAATGAACATCTTACCCTAAAATAAATTTCAAAATCCCAAATACAGATCAAGAATGTTTTATCTACACAGATACGTTAGAACAAAGTATTATATAAACAAACTCCAACAAGATTAGTGACAGACCGTTGAATATAAATCAAGTGTTGGAAGACTGTTGATTACAACATTATTCAAATATTATTTTCAAAGGGAAAGACAGCCGAACGATTTCAAAATTATTATTGCAAGGATTTGTTACTAAAATACAAAATGTTTGTTAGTAAATCCTCGAATACCTACTATATGAAAAGTTATTTTATGTAACGTGTGTTTACTGATTCACCTATATCTTCACCTCCAGGAGCACCAGCAGCAGTGGGAACCAGCAGGGTCACTAGCAGGAATCATGGGTAATCCTGCATAGGCATTGATTTCAACATCAGCAGGGTTACTACCAGGTTCATTACTTTGAATATTTGCTTTGAATCCTTCAGATCCAGCAGTGTAGTCTATTTTTCTGCGACATCCATCAGGATCCTCCAAGCTGTATGTACCCACCACATTTCTAGAGACGTCACCACTTTCTGATCTGGAGCTGCATCCACCTCCTGTTGCAGCAGTGTACATGAAGTTGAAGGGTGTGTGCTATAGAGTAAACACAAGTTAAAAAAATAAAACTTTTTTCAATAATTCAAGAAATGGTTTCATGTATCTTATAGTTTAAATTATATATCTATCGTATTTCGTAATATTAATATTTGCACATTTTCAATGCGCTAAAACTACGTAAAGTTTTCGTATTCGGATTAAATTGTATTACTTAAGCCTAATAAAAAGAATATTGGGCAACAGATTCAAAACTATTGAGTTTACTAAACAAAATACTGTGGCCCTTTTTTATAAAGTAATTGATTTAGTTTGATATTATGGAGAGATTAGGTCATCTTAGTATTTAGCAACGTTTAATCTTCTTGTTGTTTAATGGGGTGGACTTAATGATATCAAATGATGTTTATGAAGTGGATATAACGATACTATGTGTTGTTTGTTGGGGTGGATATAATGGTACCATATGAAAATTGAGATAAAACTTGAGAAACAGATATGCTTAGATCAGGATTTATTGATGGTTTATCTAAATATGAAGATCCAAATCAAATCAGGTTTTTATCAATAAAAATTAATTTATCAGGTTAACTTACCGATAATGTAATTTGTATCTTTTCTTTATATACTTACAGCTCCTCCAGAAAGTCCAGCAGCGCCACCTGCTTCTCTAGAAGGCTGAGCGGCTCCTGCAAGTCCGAGGATAGAAACATCGGCGGGGTCTTCTCCTGTGACCAATCATTGTTCATTGGTGTAGATCAGGGGTCACCAAACTTTTTTCACAGCGGGCTAGATAACTGAGAGAATGACGAGCGCGGGCCGCATTACCATTT